GTCCCAAAATCGGTAACCGAACTCATCACCACCATAACCAACAAAGACACATTTGTTGGACTTGGCATCAAGTTTAATTTTTTCAGTAGAGTTTATGTGTACATAAGAAATACAACCAAACACTCTTAAGTGTGAAAGGTTTATTTCTTTCTTGATCCAAACTTCCTCTGGTATTCTACCATCCAAAGGAACCGAGGGCCCACGGTTGATCAAGTAAGCTGCAGTGTTGATAGCTTCAACTCATAGAAATTTGGGCAATCCGGCATGTATCCTCATGCTTCTGGCACGTTCATTCAGAGTTCTATTCATGTGCTCTGCTACACTATTCTGCTACGGTGTCATGGGAACTGTTGTCTCCATCTTGATCCCATTGTTTAAGCAGAAATCTCTGAATCTACGATTTCTGTACTCTCCTCCATTGTCAGACCTCAACCACTTGACTTTCAGACCAGTCTCATTTTCCACCATGGCCTTCCATTTTCTGAAGGTATCAAAGACTTCTGATTTCTTCTTCAGAAAATAAACCCACACCTTCCTTGTAGAATCATCGATGAAGGTGACATAATATAATGAGCCTGCAAGAGATGGAATTGGAGATGGTCCCCATACATCAGTATGAACCAACTCTAACTTTTCAGCCTTGGGTGTCTTACCAATCTTTGCAAAGCTGACTTTCTTTTGTTTGCCAAAGATACAATCCTCGCATAGTCCGACATCTACATTTTTTAGATCCGGCAACTTCCCCTTTGACAAAAGTGTCTTCATCCCTTTCTCGCTCATATGGCCAAGCCTTTGGTGCCATAGGTTTGATTTTCCATTAGCATCTGCTACTGCAATGATATTCTCTAAATTTGAGGTTATATAGAGAGTATCAATTTTCTTACCATGAGCAATGACGAGTGCTCCTTTAGTAATCTTCCATTCACAACCTGAAAAGGTTGTGCTAAATCCTTCACCATCAAGTTGTCCTACAGAAATCAAATTTCTTTTGAGGCCAGGAATATATCTCACTCCTTTCAGCGTCCAGGTGGTCTGGTTTGGTAACTTTAATCGGATGTCTCATTTTCCGACGATCTTCAAGGTTTCATCATCGGCTAGATGAACCTTCCCAAAATCACCACTGACATATTTCTCCATGATTTCTCGGCATGGGGTGGAGTGGAAAGATGCCCCTGAATCCAAGATCCATGATTCAATCGGACTGTTGACGCTTAGAATCATGGCATCACATGTCTCCTCTATCACGTTGGCAAAATCCTGTGTGCCGGTATTTTTCTTCGGTGATCGGCAATCTCTTTTAAAGTGACCCTTCTTGTCACAATTATAACAGATAAAATATTTTTTTCCCATTCTGGATTTTCCCCGTCTGAATTTCGATCTGCCATGATTTGAATTTCTTTCTGAAGTTCTCCATCTGGACTCCGTGTGCAAAGCTGAGGAGGTTGATGATTCACCCGATTCTCTCCGTCGAATTTCTTCGCTCAGTACCAGATCCCGAACATCATCGAATTTCAATTTACTATTTCTCGACGAGCTACTAACTGCTGTAACAGTAGCATTCCAACTGTCTGGTAGAGATGATAAGAGAATTAAAGCTCGAACTTCATCATCGAATTTAATTTCCACTGAACTCAACTGGGTTGTGATTGTGTTGAGTTCATTTAGTTGTTGTGCCATCGATGCCCCTTCCGTCATCCGCAAATTGAATAATCGCCTCATCAAGTGCACTTTATTTGAGGCTGATGGCTTCTCATACATACTGGAGAGAGCCGCCATAAGACCCGCCGTGGTATTTTCCTTTGCTATGTTGAAAGCAACATTGCGGGATAACGTCAGTAGGATAACTCCAAGGGCTTGTCTGTCGAGAAGAGCTCAGTCTTCATTCTTCATGCCCTCTGGTTGCTTTCCTGAGAGAGGTTGATATAGATTTTTCTGGTACAGAAAATCTTCAATCTGCATCTTCTAAAAGCAAAAGTCCGCACCATCGAACTTTTTAATTTTCACATTCCCTTCATCTGCAGCCATCTCTCCCACTCGAATCTGGTTTCGTTTGGATCGTTTCTGACAATTCTTGCGAACCACCGTGTATTAGAACACCTCCGTCGACAAGCTCGTATCGCCGACAAAATATTTACTATTCACGAAATTTACTATTCATGTGAATAGTAATAAATAGTAACCTCGTAAAAAATTGACAAAATTCACAACCAAAAGCTCTGATGCCAGTTGTTGGGAAATAAATCGAGTACGAGTAATTTCCCTATAACTAGATTAGTGAGAATGCGAAATAAAAGCGGAAAAATAATACCCGAAATTGATAACGGAGTTCAGCCAATTGTGCTTACGTCTCTGGATTGCTGCAGATCTTTTACTAAGAGAGAAAATTTACAGTAGTTTACAAAACACTCATTACTCACAAGAAAACTCTCTAGTATTGGGAGAAAAAATGATTTTTGGGATGGATTTGAAGCTAAATGAGCTAGGGTATTTATAGTTGAAACTTAAGGACTTAATCATGTAAATACCCTAAAGTCTAGTGACTAATTATGATTATCCCATTACAATATTTCAACAAACATCTACCAAACTTTGAAAAACCATTTTTCAAAGAAACATTTACCAAACTTTGAAAACCATTTTCAAAGAAACATTTACCAAACTTTGAAAACCATTTTTCAAGGTTGGTTGCCAAACTTTGAACTTTTAATTTGGTGCATTGCTTGACTTTCAACATATATCTGGGGGTCAAAGGCAAGTCCTCGAAGAAAGTTAAGAGAAAATGAGATTTCCTGCGTGTCATGTTAATTTTGTCTCTGTCTACTTGTTTCCAGTTTCTGACTAATTTGTTAGGTTCAGTTTTATCCCCCCCTTCCTCTCTTCTGCTGAAGTGATTGTACAAAACTCGGATTACAGAAGTGTCATGGGTTTGAGTCCCACAATACTAAATTTACGAAGTGTGGGTTCTCCTCCCAGTGCTATATGTGGGTTTGTTTCCAAATTATTATTCTGGTTCAGGTCGGACTATGTCATGTTATGATCGTCTTTGACACTTGTACTTCTCGGATTATGATTGTAATTATGCTTGAATCCGCCTGAAAAAAAAAACAAATTTGCATTTGCCGAATGATTTTGTTATAAATTTTATTAGTTCTGATTTAAATTTCAATTCATATTATCTCCCTTGACCGTAACATAGTGGATGTGGAAATTATGACATGCACGAGGTGAAGGATGCCTCGAGCATTGTTCTTGTTCTTTGGTCTTGGATTACCCTCCGTTTCATTGCTTATGAAATAACACCTCCTCATCAGGTAGTGCTAGAAAAGCCGGTATACCCTTACCCTTGGTAACGGCTAACTGCGCCATCCCACCTGCAAGGAAGTTGCCTTTCAGATAGCAATCCTGCACTCGAACCCACCAATGAACATTGTAAAAGCTGGCAAAATAGAACCTGATTGTCATGTTCCAAGATGACCTGCTGATAGCCAGACTCCCATGCCGCAACAACCTGTCTCGGCCTTCATCATTGAACATCTCCCGATATTATGCTAGAGTTATCTCGAATGAGACCTCCAGCAAAGGCATCACCATGTACACCTTGCACTGGGTGATCGGTGTTAACTTTCACCAGTCCCTTGCAGGCCTCTCCCACTTGATCGTGTTGCACTCCCTCCATACGCCTTAAAATCATTAGGGGAAGCAATCCATGAACACACTACTCATCCGTCAAATGGATAGCCTTATCAAATAGTGATTCTTTTTCAACATTTAGGAACGCACTGTTACTTGTTTAATCTTTAATGGAAAAGCAAGCCTGTAGTGTTGTGAACGTTTGTTGCTTAACATACAATTTTCTTAATTCTGGGTACGAGAAATTATTACTACTTGACAAAGAACAGTTCACTTTCTTGTTCAACAACAGATTCCCTGAGAACATAAAACACATGCGCCGGCTGCTATTCCTTGGGTATTATTATAGCTCTGCTATTTTTTTTTTGTAATTTATTCTAAAACACAATAATCATAATTTATTCTTATAGCTTTTCCTCCTCATTTATTGATATGAGCTTTGGTTTTAAGGGTAGGACATTGTGTTTGTGATGATTGTTTATTTCCCTATTAAAAAAAACTAATTTGAGACCAGTTTTTTTCTTAATCGTGTTTGATTTGATTTTTATGTGTTGTATTTGATTTGATTTTTTATATTTTAATAAAATATTTTTTTCATAAATTTCATGTTTATTTTTTCTAATGATTTTTTTTATTGATGCATGTATTTATGATGTATCTGAAGTAAAAAATTATCTTATAATAGTGTTTTATTTATCATATTTGATATTGATAAGACACCAACATAAACAAAAGTTTCATACATCAGTACATCTCTTCAAAATGGTTTTTTTTTTCCTTATATACTTAAAGTTTAAGACATACTTATATTTTTATTCAAATTAGGACATGAAGTTTACTTCTATCACACATTTTGGTATTTGAATTTGAAATCACCATTACTAGCTCAATATGTGACAAAACTCAAGTTCAAATACTAAAATATGTGATAAAAATAAAGTATCCAATTTGCACAAAATATAAATAACAATTTAACTCTCTCATAAAGTTCAAAATAATCCTTAAACTTATCAAAATTTATTATTATTTTATAACATACAAAGACCATTTTGTAATATTCAATAAATTTAATAATAAAAAAACCATTTCAGTATAATTTTGTGAACTTTACCTTAGATTTTATTAGGAGGGATATGAACCAGGCCTAGCCTTCCTCAGCCATTAATCGGCCCTCGTACAAATTGCAAACCAAATAAAATATTAAGCCCAAGCACAGCCCAACTCAATACAATCTGAATCGGAGCTCCAATATACAAACAACCCGACCCGAACTTGCTTCCCGTTGAAATTCCAATCATATACACTTTTGTCCAGTTTAGTGCTCCCAGTCCACTTCTTCAAGCAGCGACAAAACATTTAAGCAGCAATTTGTATAATCTCTATCAACAGCCTCAAATCACTTTTTTGTGCTTAGATGGCATCATCCCTTTGCTCCAGAGCTCTCGTGGGTCATCGCTTGATCCGATTCTCGTCCTCTCTCCCTCGCGAACCCGTGATTTTCTCTAATCTTTTCAGTGTTAGTGACAATCTTTCTCATTTATTTTTCTGATACTTGCTACTTGGGGTTTTCTCAATTTGTTGGTTTTTGATTGTTCAAATTGGCTTTTCTTTATGGATATTTCAAAAGTGAATCTTTTTCTTTTGTTTTGCATGTGATCAATCTATCACTTTTAAAGGAATTAGTTCGTTTTAAACTTTATAGAATAAAGATAGATAGGTTGAGAACTATTGACAGTAGGTTTTGTACAGGGCGGGGATTGGTTGTTTGAGTGGCATGGTTTTTGTTGATACTCTTGTTTTTGTGTAGCAGCTTGCTGCTTCTTTGGATATAATACAATCTATCACTTTTACGAGATGGGCAAGTTCTGTGTTTTTTTCCCCTTTCAATTTTATGTCTTCACCAAAGTTTATGTAGGTTTTTGATTATTTTTATGAAGAATTTGATATTATCTTTAGAAAATTTGTATTTTTGTATTATTGTTCTTGCTTATAGAATGCATATGCAGAAGATTGTCTATTCTGCATGTTTCTTATTTTAATTTAATTTTGAATATTCTGGTTATGTTTTCTTTAATCCAAACTATGCATATCACTTATTAGTGAAATTGGGCTACTCTGAATAATTCATTAACATGGGCATGTTGCTATTTGGCGCTTTGATATTAACTACACTGTCATTGAGTGCCGCTGGCTCTGGTGACGACATTAACTTGGAACACCCCCGTTCTTCTTTTAGTAGTTTTTATGGTCATGTGGCTCAGTTCATATGTTGTATTTTTGTATCACTTGCAGAAGAGAGAGTTTCGTGTACAGGCTGTGTCTTCCCATGCCACATATAAGACCTCTGGTCAGCCTTCTCGTTTAATGACTTCCGTAGCAATTGATGCAAGAACTAATTTTTCAACACAATCTCTTTCCACTGATGATCCAGTCGTTTCTGTTGATTGGCTTCATGCTAATCTAAGGGAGCCTGATCTGAAGGTATGCATTTATACGTGCGCCAGTACCCCCTTTAACTTTTAAGCATTGTTTGTTATAAAAATGTTATGAATTTTGTGCTTGTTATTTGTTATGTTTTGACAGTGGTTGTTGTGAATGAGTTCATGTATATGTAAGCCACTTTTGATACTGTTGTCTTTGCTTTATTTTTCTAAATATAGAAAGGCATACATGCATGTTATTAATAATTATAGTTAAGGTTTTGCTTGCAACTAATTTTTCATCTTCATAGGCATCACCTCTCATATATATTTCTATGTGCTTATGAAATTAGTCTTTATATACTACTGTACAGCTCTTGCAAGTTTGCAACTCGTAGGAAATCTTGATGTTAAACCACGAGTTATCTGCTGAAGTTTAGCAAAGCAGGGGATCGGTTGATTGTATGTTTTAGTTATAGTTTATTTTTCTATGGCTGTAGGTTCTTGAAGTAGCTGAAGTTGTTAAGTTTAATGTAAAATCATCTGCTGTATTGTTAAGTCTTATGTAATTCCGGCTTGGTAATAAAATGAGGCACTCTTTTCCTCCCTCCACTACTTGATCCTTTCTGTTAGGAAAGGGTCAACTATGAGAGAGGTTTTTAACGAGGCTTCCTATTCCTATAAAAAAAAGAGTTACAGTTAGTTATAGATCAGCATTTTCGACTTAACAAGAATATTATATGAAACTGTAACTAAAAGTTCACATTGAAACAATTGCTAAATGCCAACCTTAAATCACTGATCGCGGTAATTATTGAGAAGACAAAACAATCTCGAAACAGCTAACAGTCCATCTTCCATTAGGTTTCATTGGAATCTTTCCTTTTCTCATATGTCTTCAAATATTTTCTCTCGGGGAGGGAAAAAGAGCTTGGTTTAAACTAAACATTGGTACCCTCCAAGTAAGGGGATCATTTTAGAATGGTTTTCCTGAAGATGCCCCCACCAAAAAAATCAGACTATTGCAATCTAATAATTGCTTGGTTTCTTAGAATAAGATATCATTGTGAAAGCATTTTTTTTATTTTTTGTTATGAATTTTGACTTTTTCCTAAAGCCTATTTATCGTTAATTTGCATAAGTTTCTTTGGAAATCTTATGAAAATTGGAAAAACACTTTATGCTTTTTTTCTTTATTGGTTGATCGCATTTTTATTATTTATCAGTTACTGGACGCCTCGTGGTACATGCCAGATGAGCAGAGGAATCCAATTCAAGAGTATCAGGTGCTGATTATCATGTTTTCTACAATCTATTTTTGTGTCACACTCCAACAACAGTTAAATGCTTTTCAATATTGAAATTATGTTCTTCTCATAGCAGGTTGCTCACATTCCCGGTGCTCTGTTCTTTGATGTTGACGGAATAGCGGATCGAACTACAAACGTGAGATTCTTTCTGTTCAATTGATTTGTTTCTTTTCAATCTTTGGGTTCTCTGGTTGCTAGACTACTGAGGTAGAGAGAGAAAATGCTCCATGTCTTAACAACCTTTGCATCACTGTTTCTTTTCCCCTTGATATGTCACTGCTATCCTTTTTGGGTTTTACAAGCAGCAATTTTCTTCTCTTCCTTTGGGTTGTTATTCGAGGAAGGTAGTAGAGATGAAGGTGCTCTTTCTATAGTATTATGTTCAATCAAGTTGTTGCTTGTTGGAGAAGATTTGAATAAAATTTCTTTTTATAGGTATGTGGCAAGCATTAGGATAGAATCATATGTTTAGCCAAATTGGAGATAGTAAGAACAATTAGGGTGGATTAGAGAAAATAGGAAAGAAATAAAAGAACTTGGGAGAAAACTAGACATAATCAGCTGAGGGAAATCTCAGTATCACAAAGACTTGATAATCCATATGGAAAAAACCTACTTACAGCTAAAGTGACAGTTATTTTGAACCAAACCCTAAACGCAGTCCTCCATAAAGTTGCTTTGATAATTGCAGAATCAACTTTAACTTTGTATATGCCTTTAGCATCCTCAGTAATGCATTTCAGTCAAATGTTCTTAGTAGTTTGTTACATGACATATTAATATTGAAGATGTACTAGATAAGTGAGCCTTTCAATAACATATGCACTACTTTACTTACTGTATTTGACTTCTCTCATTTAAAACTTTTATCAGTTGCCACATATGCTGCCATCTGAGGAAGCTTTTGCAGCTGCTGCGTCCGCTCTTGGTATCGAGAATAAAGATGGGCTGGTTGTTTATGATGGAAAGGGAATTTTCAGTGCAGCACGTGTCTGGTGGTGAGTAGCATGTTTGATAATATATCTATTTAACCTCTACTGAAATGTTCTATCAGTATTTTCCCTGATTCTAAATCTAATGGACATTATTCCTTCGATAATTATAAGGATGTTCCGAGTTTTTGGGCATGGCAGAGTCTGGGTGTTAGATGGAGGCCTCCCAAGGTGGCGTGCATCAGGTTATGATGTTGAATCTAGTGCTTCTGGTGATGCTATTTTGAAAGCCAGTGCTGCTAGTGAGGCAATAGAGAAAGTCTATCAGGGACAAACTGTTAAGTATTCTTTAGATCTATGATTCTCTATATCTCCCTTTCCAATTCTTGATATTATTGATTGGATTTCTTGTTTTGTTTTGTCTTTTTTTTTGGGAGGGGGGGTTGTTTCCCTCTTCCATGAGAAATGTTTGTCCTTTAGAAATTACGAAAATATTGCTATTGAGTTCAAATGATGCTTTCTGAAAGAAGCAAGCATGGGAATGCTATGGGACTTGGTTTTAAAAGAGGCGCGAGGTGCAACCAGGCGTTGAAGATGGTGCCTGCCCGAGTTGAGGCGAGGCTATTTACAAGAGGCACTCGGAGGCATGCGCCTCTGGGCTTTAGGCACCGGGCTCTGCGCCTTTCGGATTTTTTTAAAGATATTACTATTTTAATAAATTATTATATTTTAATATTAAAAAAAAACCCATCTTAGAATAAAACTCACTCACTATGTTTTTTATGTTAGTTTGTGTGTTGTTAGTTGTTAGTTGATAGTGTAATGGTATTGAATATTTTGATCTTTAAAGAACTATAATATTATTTATCATCTTATTTTGAGTACAAAATATAGTTTACACTTGATATATATTATATGTTACAAACAGTGTGCCTCTCATACGAAAGGCGCGTGCCTGCGCTTTGCGCCTAGGCTCCAGGGACCTTTTGAGACTCAGTGCGCCTTGCGCCCTTAAAAACCAAGCTATGGGAGACATTCAATGGCACTTGTTTGTTCAGTTGCTGCGTTGAACATTGTTATCTAATATTATACGACTATCTATACTCGTGTTTACAATGTTATACTCAAATAGTTTTTGATGCATGTATCCTTGTTTTGCAGGCTGGACCACTGACATTTCAGACAAAGTTTCAGCCACATCTTGTCTGGACTCTTGACCAGGTTGAATTGCTAACTTAATATACTTCACGTGGAAATATGGTTTTGCTACGTTAGTTTTCTTCAACTCCTGGTGTCTATTAATGATTGCAATCTTAGTGGATGCACCTTGATAACGCATTTATACTAGTACTACCTTTCTAGATCCATTATGCATGATTATTATGGTATGATCCACTGATTGAACATTTACTAGCGTCCACAGACATCACACCACAACTTATTATGATAAGAAAAGCAAAGAAAAAAACTGAGCTTGGAGAAAGCTGAACATTAGCAGTAAAGAATCATAGAAATTATGATTTTATGGGAGGAATAGAGAAACATAATGCTTGCATGTCTTATTAGAGTCAAAACTTGCAGTTGTATATATTAGATGGTAAATCCTATTATCCTCACTGATCTGTTTTAATTAGCTGGCTACTGACTTGTTTATGTATACCAGGGCTTGATATTTTGATGCCATTTTGAAATCTGGTGAAGAAAAAATCCCTGGAATCCAATGTATAACAATCTAAAACTATTTCTGTGGATGTAAAAGGTGTGGCATATTTTATGTCTGTTTGGTGATCTTGTATGTTGCATCACTCTTGACTTGTCCTAGCATATTCATATCAACAATATGTTGGATACTTTAAAGCATACATGGTTGAAATCAACGGTCCACGTATGAGACAATTCATACAAACACTTGAAAGTTCTTTGTTGTGACTTATGACATGTCAATTACTGAAATCAGCAAAATAGGTGCTCTTTATGGACTTGGCTGTTAGTCTGTCCATCAGTATTCCCTATTACTTGAGTACTCTGCCAGTTTATGTTAGATGATGCAATTTTTTTTTTCAGGTTAGAAGAAACGTTGAAGAAAAGACTCACCAACATATAGATGCCCGTTCCAAGCCCAGGTACAGCATTCAACTTGTTTTATTCCGTTTGATTATGTTTACTTAATCTCTTATCAAAAAAGTTATGATTACTTAATCATTTTATGAATAAAAGAATTTAATTTGGTAAATACTAGCAGTTGTAGGTAGTCAGTTTTATTACCTCAATTCATTGCCTTTTGTCATGGAACTGCTGTACAAACAGTATTAAATAAAACCGAACTTTGGACCTAAATAAATTCTTATATGGAAGGGGCATTGAACATAACACATGGTTCTTGCACATTTTTCAGTCCATGAAGCGTAATTTGCTTAAATTGTAAAGGCTGAATTGAATCTTTGTAATACATATCGCATTAAAGCCAAATCCGTTTCACTACTAGTAAGACACATGAACTGCTTTAATGGTATAGGAATCTGTCTAATCCTAGCAAGAACTATAATTAAGCTAGATCCTCATTGCCTATCTGGCGGTTCTAGTTGCCAGCATGATCCATTTCATGATCCTCTCAATCTCAACATTTTTATTTCAGCCACACTCATCTTTCGGACAAGTTTTCAACCTGCTCAAATGCTTGGAATCTTAAGGCTTAACTGTTCTTACTGTATTTCCTTTCAAACTTACTCAGTGTTGTGAAGGGAACAAGGTGTTCTCTAGGATCTAGAACCTTTATATAGCATGTGCAAGGTGCAAAAAAAGCTTCACTGGTATACTTCTGTAGTTCTGTTCTTGTATGTATCTGCAGATGTATATAGTAATCTTATGATATATAATTAAGATGATAAACTCTAAAGTTCTTCCAGTTTATCCTAAAGACATGTAAAATTTCCTTTTTCTTTTGCCGTCCAATATGCATGATTTCCTTATGGTCCCATGTTTGTTGTTAAATACTGAAGCATTAAGTAGATGGTTTTATATTATCCCTTTTTTTTCTTTTATTATTATTAAAGGTGTAAATAATGAAAAGAAATTAAAGAAAACGATAGGGGGAATGTTTGGCACCTATTACCTTACTAAAATGCACCAGATGTGCTCGATCATATGAGCCTTGCTTGTAAAGGTCTTAGGTGCTTTTGTTGTCCATGGTTAACACACATGCCTTAACAACATCAAACTTGTTAACATTTGTGTGATCACATTATATGATATATGTAGAAAACAGAGTAAGTCTCTGTTATTTTATTCATGTATTCATTCAGTAGAACATATTACATATTTATATACAAATTATGCCTCTAAACTAGGAAACTCTAAGTTAGATAAAATACTAATCCTAGGAGATGTAATCCCTTGAAATAAGGGATTGAAAAACAGAGAATAATTACAGAATCTCTTAACTTAAGGGATTGATAACTCATTTCTATAATTCCTACACTCCCCCTCAAATTGGTGTATATATGTTGTATATACCCAGTTTGAATGACAGCTCATCAAAAGTCACTCGTGGAAGGGCTTTGGTAAAGATATATGCCAACTGTTTCTTCGTCGGAATGTACTGCAGTTTTGCAACTCCATTGTTGACCTTCTCGTAAATAAAATGTTTGTCTATCTCAATGTGTTTCGTTCTATCATGCTGCACTGGGTTTTTTGCTATACTCATAGCTGATTGATTGTCATTAAAAATCTCAAAATTCTTCTTGTCATCTAAGTCCAGTTCTGTGAGCAGTCTTTTAATCCACATTTCTTCACATATTCCGAGAGTCATTGCTCTAAACTCTGACTCAGTACTACTTCGAGAGACAACGACTTGTTTCTTACTTCTCAAAGTCACCAAATTACCCCAAACGTAGGTACAATAGCCACTAACTGACCTTCTATCAGTTAATTCACCTCCCCAGCTTGCATCAGTATAAACCTTCACTGTTTTGTCTTGATTTTTTCTAAATATAAGTCCAGCTCCTGGGGTAAACTTCAAGAACCTTAGAATTCTGTTAACAGCTTCCAAATGTTCTTCTCGAGGATCACTCATATGTTGACTGACAATGCTCACTGAGTATGCAATATCAGGCCTGGTCAGTGAAAGGTAGATCAACTTCCCAACTTACCTTTGGTAGGTTTACTTGTTTACTGGATTTCCAGTCCTTCCTTGCAAAATTTCAAGCCTGGCTCCATTGGAGTTTCAACTAGTTTGCAGTCGAGCATCCCAATTTCTGCAAGAAGATCCAAAACATACTTACGCTGGTTTATGACCTGCCCTTCCACAGACCTTGCAACTTCCATACCCAGGAAATACCTCATACTCTCTAAATCCTTGGTTTCAAACTCCTTTGCAAGTTTCATCTTTAGCTTTTTTATTTCTTCTATATCACTGCCAGTTATAATCATATCATCTACATAGACAATTAGGAGGGTTATCTTACCACTCGGTGTAATTTTTCTGAATAATGTGTGATCCACTTGGCTTTGTTTGAAACCATTTTGTGTCATAGCCTTAGCAAATCAATCAAACCAAGCCCTAAGCCATATAAGGATTTATTGAGCTTGCACACAATTTTCTTAGTGATGTTTCCTTCTAATCCGAGGGGACCTCCATGTATACCTCTTCTTCAAGGTTCCCATTCAGAAAAGCATTCTTTATGTCCAGCTGATGCAATTTCTAGTCCATGTTAATAGGTACTGATAACAATATTTTGATGGTATTCAATTTTACAACCGGTGCAAAAGTCTCCTGGTAGTCGATGCCATAGGACTGAGAAAAACCTTTAGCAACCAGCCTTGCCTTGTATCTTTCCACACTCCCATCCGAATGATATTTGACTGTGAATATCCACCTGCATCCAACAACTCTCTTCCTTTTTGGCAAATCTGTCAAACTCCATGTCTTATTCTTTTGCAACGCTTTTATCTCCTCTTCCACAACCCTTTTCCACTCAAGAGATTGAAATGCTTCTGTCACATTTCTTGAAATTTTCACACTGTTAATGCTGGTAGTGAAGGCCCTGAAATTAGACTGTAATTTCCCATATGCAACATACTTATTTATGGGATGAGCAGTGCATTTTCTTACCCCCTTCCTAATAGCAATAGGAAAGTCATCAAGATCAACAGTAGTAGCCTCTTGGTAACCATCATTACCTTCTGTTTCAGCTGCAACAGGATCCGAATCTGGTTCTTGGCAAATGCTAGGCTGATTGATTTCTTCAGCAACATCTTTCCTTCTTCTTGAGTAAACACTGAGTTGTTTCGGTTGGGGAGTTATGGTTTCAGGGTCATTGTTAGGTGCATTTTTTGTAGTGGTGGAAGGTGTTTTGCACGGACTAGATTGCTGAGATAAGGAGGAAGGTAATTCATCAGAGTTATTTAGGTTATTCTCATCACCCTCACTAGGAACTGGGACAGTGCTAGTCGGCTTTGGAGAGACAGTAATAGGTAAATAAATGATAGGTTGTAAAGAAATATCGGTTTGAACAGGCTGAAATTCCTTGTAACTCTCCCCCTGAATTTCTGTTCCTGAAAAATAAGGTTGGTTTTCAAAAAATGTAACATCAAAGGAGACATAGGTTTTTTTTGTATGGAAGGTGAGTAAGACTTGTAACCCTTCTGACTCGAAGAATAGCCCAAGAAAACACACTTTATGGACCTAGGATCTAATTTCCCTCTGTTGTGGATATGAACAAAGGTTGTACACCCGAGGAGAAAGACTTGAGTTTAAATGTTTAAAATGGGGATAAAGCTGAAACTAAACCTTAGTAGGAATTTTGAAATCTATGGTCTTACTTGGCATTCTATTGATGAGGTAAGTGGCTGTAAGAAGAGCTTCCCCCCAAAGATACTTAGGAGCATTAACAGCAAACATAAGAGACCTAGTAACTTCTAGAAGATGTCTATTTTTCCTTTCTGCTACTCCGTTTTGTTGAGGTGTATTGACACAAGAAGTAAGGTGAACAATGCCTTTTTCCTTAAAGAAATACCCAAGGGTTTTATTCAAATACTCACTCCCATTGTCACTCCTTAGAATTTTGATTTTTGTGTCAAATTGGGTTTCAACTTTTTGATAAAAACTTTTAAAGAGAGACTCAACCTCAGACTTTTCTCTCATTAAGAATACCCATGTTGTCCTAGAGTAATCATCTATAAATTGACACAAACCACTTATATCCAAAAATACTTTTGACAAGAGAATGGCCCCAAATGTCACTATGGATGATGGAAAAAGGTGTTGTTGGTTCAAATTTGGCTGCAATATATGGTTTTCTGGTGTGTTTGGCTATTTGACAAATTTCACAGGAAAACAAAGATAGATTTTTATTTATAAATAAGTTCGGTAACATTTTGGAAAGATAGAAAAAATTATGATGACCTAATCTAGAGTGCCATAACATAATTTTATTGGTATTGAGATCAGAAGATAAAATTGGTTTCCTAAGAGCACTGGATAAGGCATGATTATGAGATGCTTTACCTCCAAGGGTGTACAATCCTTTGCCCAGCCTAGCACTGCCAATCACCCTCTTCAAGCCCTGGGCCTAAAAAATGCAACCACCAGTACCAAACACAACATTACAACCATAATCTTTAATTAATTTGCTGACTGACAACATATTGCATGCAAGTCTAGGAACATAGAGGACATTGTGAAGTAGATTTTTGTTTAATGTAACATAACCACTCCCTTTAACTGTAGTGAGAGAGCCATCTGCCATTTTGATAGAAGCTGGTAAGCTGCTTTCACTATATTCCTCCAAGAGATCAATATTTCCTGTCATATGATCTGATGCACCCGAGTCTATTATCTATTGTACCGAGGAAGCATATGGATTATTTCCGTCAGTAGTAGTATAAGTCACATTGGTCGGCTTGGTTGTCATACTGCTCAAAATCTGTTGCAGCTCCTCTATCTGTTTTTTGCTAAAACTGCTTGAGGAATCATCTTGAGAGGCAATATGGGCCTCCTTTTGAAACCTGGACCGTGTGGGTTGCCAATCGGTTGGTTCCGTGTAGCTTCCAACATTGATCTATCATATGGCGTGGTTTCTTACAATGTTCACACCAGAGGTGATTTTTCCTCTGCTGCTCTGAAAATCTGAAATCTGAAAATCAGATTGAGAGGGGCTGGTATGGGAAATGATTTCGGATGCTGAGGGATCCGGATTAGCCATGAAAAAAAATAGAGTTGAACAAGAATTGATTTAAAGAGAAGCGGAAATCGGATTGATCGCTCTAACCTGATACCATGTAGAAAACAGAGTAAGTCTCTGTTATTTTATTCATGTATTCATTCAGTAGAACATATGACATATTTATATACAAATTATGCCTCTAAACTAGGAAACTCTAAGTTAGGAAAGATACTAATCCTAGGAGATGTAATCCCTTGAAATAAGGGATTGAAAAACCGAGAATAATTACGGAATTTCTTAACTTAAGGGATTGACAACTCATTTCTATAATTCCTACAACATATTCTGTTAGCATGTCTAGATTCCATCAGCACTGTATTACCATATGAATGGATTTGATATAAAAACCATCACTGACTGAATACTGATATTATCTCTTCTGTTCATGTTTGCGTATTGGAGACTTTATTTTTTTTCAACTCTTTAGCATTTTTACTTTTTTGTTATTAGATCTTTTTCTTTTGGTTATTTTGGATTGTTGAGGCTTGAACCTCAATATATCCTTTTGTGCTTCGTTGGTGGTGATTTTAATGCAATTGGATTTTGTGCATTGTTTTTTTTTTTCATAAAATGGTTGGGCTCAAGATGGATTTTTATTTTCTTATCTATGCTTATAAAATCAGAAATCCTGCCCTTTCATCGTTTAATTGGTGTCTTTGCTTTCATTCAATTTCTCTTATGGTTTCCTGTTTTGCAATCAAATTTATGTTTTAGGTTTGTTTCTCTCATCATTGTGCCGTATCTTAAGTAGTTTTGGATGTCCCAACATCTTGGATATTGATTTGGAATAATGAGGTTTTGATGTTTTCGTTGGCCTCTGTCCGACTGCTGGTACCAAGAAAATCATTTTCATTAGTTTAGTTGAGCAAGCCTTTGGAAGCAAGAAATGAAGCCAATTATAGTTGGTAACTTGACTAAAAAGTTGGAGAACAGAAAATAGCAGCAAATTTGGAGTAGTGCAGTCTGCCAGTCTCTATGTGGGCTAAAGTGCTGACCCTTGGCAGCCTATATATTCTGTTCTTTCGGTTGGTAGATTATTATTATTATTATTTTTATAAGAATGCTAGGCCTCGTTAAAAACCCCCTTCTTGATTAATGGATCTTATAGGGAAGCTCCTTAATCAGCGGAAGGGGGAAAAGAGTGCTTATATATTATTCAGAATAATAAATTACAACGAAAACAACAATAGTAATCCCCTTACGAAACACAGAAAATCAAGAAACAACCCTAAACAGCCATTAACAACTTTACTAACTCAGCCTATGCCTTCTTTAGCTAAGGCATCAGCCTCTAAATCGGCTGTCCTATTAACCCATCTAACAACACCTTCAAAGGCATGAAGCCTATGAACAATATCTTTAATCAAGAAGGCATACACAACAGGACATAATTCAACCCCCTTAATCCAATCCACAGCCACCTTACTGTCACTCTCTATAATCAAACGGTCCTTGATCCTCTGTCGATAACTTGCAAAGAAAAACAACCCCATAAGAATAGCCTTTAACTCCATCAACGTAGGAGGTCCCGGACCAGCAGGATCCTCTGTAGATTATTATTATTATTTATTATTATTATTATTACCTGCAAACATACATCCATTTTGTTCAGGATTTGCCTTCTAACTTTTTTAATTTTGAAGACATAGCCGTAAATTTAATTGCATAAAACTCTGGGTTATGTCTATTAAACCTTTTTGCATATGGAATCCTTTTTCTCTAATTTTTTCCTTTCCTGTTTGGGGTTTCACACAGATTTGATGGTGCCGCACCTGAACCTCGTAAAGGAATTAGAAGTGGCCATGTACCTGGTAGCAAGTGCATTCCTTTTCCACAGGTAAGAAAGTTTTTCACTTTTTACTTGCGTGCTATGGAGAGGTGAAGTGGATGTAAATTTCTAAAGACCTAATCAAGACCTTTTTAATTTGTCTGAGAGAGAAGTTCGGTAAATGTTCAGGAACATTTACTTTCAAGTTAGGAGTGTAAGGGGGACCCTACGTCTTTCTGTTGTGTGCTGCATTAAATTGTCGATTGATAGTTCAAAATTGTCATGCACATAGAACAAAGTTGTCGAGTGGCAGATTTAGCTAGTGCAATTTGAGTATGACCTGTTACTGGTCATCATTTAGACCATTAGTCTTAGGATGCACATCTTCTGTGATACAGGAAATTGCAAAATTATAACCTTAGAAAAAAGGGAGAAACAATATGATATGCCATTTTGGGGGATTATTTTATTTTGCCTCTCTCTTCTTTTATGTCTGATGCATGTTCTGGACTTTCTGTTTCCGGGATAGATTATTAATTGCTCGACTTATTATTTCCTTGCAGATGTTAGATGCTTCACAGACACTTCTACCTGCCGATGAGCTCAAGAAACAATTTAATGAAGAGGGTGATTCCTATTTATCTTCCTTTTTATCATCGTTCCTTTCCCTCTTTACTTTTTCTTCTTTCCCAGTTCTGCAGGCATGCATTTGGCCATATCATTTTTGGTTCTCATATATGAAGTCAATACCCCTTCACCTATTCACTCTATATGCACATCAGTTTTTGGGAGTAGTGATTTGTCACAGATGATTAGAATTGGAAACTTAGCTCCTGAATAACAACAATTTTTTTTTGATAAGGAATAACATAACAATGTTGAATATTTTTCGAGGTTTGCTGAAACATATGATGTAAAAAAAATTCTCAGTTTAAAAGAGGCTGCTAGTTTCCTTGATTGTGCAGTCCAAAACGGACAGCCAAAACTGTACCTTGCCAATTTGTGATAGAAAAATTAGACACCAAGGTTTTTATTGTCGCATCAAATTTGGCGGGTAACTTTCAGTCTTGCACACAGTTCATAGTTAAATCAATCTTTCAATACGATTTTTGTGTTTATGATGGATATAAAATACTGAATTTGATTGTGTTTCATTTCTTTAGGAATCATCTTGCTTCCAAGCCTATAAAGAAGTTCATGTTTCTTTCTTGTTTATTGTTGGTCTTGACATTTTCTTATTGTCCTTGAAAACTTACGTCACCTAATAACGAATTTCAGGCATCTCATTGGAACGCCCCATTGTAACTTCTTGCGGCACTGGTGTAACTGCTTGTATTTTGGCATTGGTACTTTCCTCCGTGATTTATTGTTCTATCTCTTCCATTAATCTTTACATTTATCAACATTCTCATAATTTCTCAAGAGGGGAAATAATATAATGTGGTTCCTGAGCAAAGTTCGATTCGTTTGATTATTTCCTGTTTGGGGAAGTTAAAAAGATGGATTAGTGTTCTAAAACAACCGTATCATGCTAATGCTTTCCAGGGCCTCCATCGACTTGGGAAGACTGATGTTGCGGTGTATGATGGATCTTGGACGGAATGGGGTGCGCAGCCTGACACACCAGTAGACACTTCGTCCTAGTTCTTGAGGCAAAGCAGTCGAAAAGAAGAGTCCAGCTTACGATCGGACCAGTTTCAGTACTCAGATACGGAGGCTTGAAAAGGGTTTCAATCTAGAGAAGCCTCAGGTGTCATTAATCAATTTTGTTGCAATATGAATCTGTCTGTGTGGTAACACTTAAGATTATCAGAAACTTTGTTTGACAACAGAAATATTGGATTCTAGAAGTGTAGTTATGGTTTTTATGACAGCAGTGTCGGGTGGTCAAGTTTTTGGAATAAACAAGTGCATAAATTTCGTTGCAGTTCATTCTCGGCTTATTTGTTTGTTCAATGCCCTCTTGGATTAATCGACTTATTCTACAACAGGGAAATTTATTGGACCGGTAAAATTTATTTTAATAAGACCTTACCAACGTCTGAGTTCTTTTATATTTTATATTTATTTCCATGGGGGATGTTCCAATTATAGGGTAAGGAGTAATTGGGAATCACACAAAAAGATTTTTTCTTTTTCCACTTTTTTCTTGTGATATTATGAGAGGAATTCAATTATATTGATATAGATATTGATAAATTTTAAAAATTTAATAGTTTTACAAACTAAACGATCTCAATGGTTAAGAGATTTGTTGTTATTTTTTAAGATTCCAGATTTAATATCGTATATGTCAGAGGTACGAGTCTTTATTGTCAAAGGGTTAAAAGTCTTTGAACATATACTATCTTGTATTCACTTTAGGTTTATTAAAAAATATTTTTTATATTTTTCTTATAATTAATAATTTAACAATCTAATTTTAAAATTAAAAATATAAGTATATTTATTAAATAAATTTAATATTTGTATCACATCCCTATAAAATAATACATTTACTAATAAATTTAACGGGTTAATACTACTTTATAATCATCTTATTTTATATATATATATATATATATATAGCAATTTAAGACAGGAAAACGAAGCAGCTAAAATACTCTCTGCAGACTCAATCAAATATGAGGGGTCATCTCCTCCAAAAAGAAAAAAAAATGAGGGGCCATCATCCAAAAGTTTGTCCTTCTATAATTGCATGAATAAATTGGTTACTTAATGAACCGGAAAACACGTTGACTTCTAACAGTTATTAAGACCAAAGTCAATTGTGGAATTAAAATAACATATAACGACTTTCCTCATCGATTACAGGGATTGTGAAATTGATTGTAAGAACTGGCGAATCGATAATGAAATTAGACAGAAACATCCATTTGCAGTGCAAATAAACCATAATATCATCTTGTACCGGTGGACTGATCTTACAATTAACCAAGAAACCTATATAAGCTAGAGATGAATCTAAATAACCGCCTAAAGCAGCTTTGCGATTGTTATTTTATGATATATGATGAAGTCGATCACCATCGTCCGAATCCAACAAACTTACTGTTGGGTACAATCTGTCGGAGCAAAGGAGACCTTCTTCTTCTCAAGATCATGTTCCACCTGGAAATTTATCTGTGCATAGTTTCCAAATATAGATAAGGACTCACTTGGGACTATCAGCATACAAAGCAAGTCGCCATTGTTCCCAAATGTGTTTACAGGTTGCAACCGAAGGTCAGCGCCACTGAAATGGAACACCATGTCCGGGACTTTGATATTAGTCTCTGTCCCATAGCACAAGCTGAATGTTCCCGAAGGATCTTGCACCGGATCAGCTCCGATGGCATTTTTCACTATACTCTCCAAGCTGTTATAAAAATTCGATTCGAGTAGCGTGAGTGTTGTTCCGGAATCGATTATGATGTTCCCTTGGCTCGAAATCGGCTTCGCGGTCTCGTCTCCGATGCTAACACCTTCGAGACTAAGGAAGTAGAAGGTCGGAGGGTTTTTAGTTGTCAACGGAGTCGAAACAGCTCCAGGACGAGATATTATCGCTTCTTGTCCGAAGAGCAGTTTACTACCGGAACTTGCAGAGCGAGGAACCAAGCAGTAGGAGAATCTGTTATCAATTTGAGTGCTTATTTGAGAAACCAGGGACAATGACCCTCCTCCCAGGCCAACAAGACCAGCACTGGGGCTACTGAATTTGCCTTGATTTTTATGCCCGCAACCAAAAACAGTCGTCGGGAATTCTGTTTTTTGACCATCGGAGGAGTCGAAGCTCAAGGTGTCAGTGCTGAGTGTTCCAACGGTAAACGACCTGTCTCCATAGCTATAACTATATTGACACTCATTCGTGTCGGTGCACTGTTTCCGAGGAAGAGCTTGGCAACTGTCGGAACCACAAGGAAGCTTTCTGTAAGTGGACGATGCTTGAGGATTAAAAGGAGGAGAATCTTGAGGATAACATTGAGGGCATGGAACGCACTGTATCCATATAAGGTCGCTGCCGGTATCTGCAACTGCTAAGTATTCAACCGGCGGGGTTCCAAAGGAGAGTTTCATCAGATAGTTTCCTTCAGTTGGAATCACTGAAGATTGGACGGATTTTTGATCGATCAAAGAGTGGAAGTGTTTGAGTCGGGCCATTGAATGGAGGGCATTTTTCCTTAGGATATCTGATGAGGTTAGAGAAGCATTATACAAGGGAGATGTTGGTGAATCACGGTGAATAAGGTCGACACTGAAACTCATCGATGCCTTTGCTCCAACTACTGCGTGAACCAGCAGGGTGGAGAAAATCACGGCAACAACAAGAAACAGTGGATTTTTATGCACCATTTCTGTGTTTTGTTAAAGATGGTTTGATGAATAATTGGAATGTTTGAGGATGTATTTATAGCACATATGATTCAATTAGAGATCGTGTAGCTTAGCGACGAAGCTGAGGTATATATTATGAACACCGTCTTGATCATTACAGCAATTTCCCATTACTTTTCTGGGAAGAAAACCAGAAATTAGTGATTTTCAATCACTGGGGCTCCTACTGTCCTACATGGAAAGTTCCGGTGATTGCGCTGCTTACACATCTGAAAAGAAAAGGGTTTATGTTCTTAGGCGTCTCGATGGTCTTCTTGTTCCCATTTGTAATGAGAAGTCAGTGTGAATGTTGGACCTCCATCACCAAATTATTCGTGAAATGTGTTTTCTGATGCAAAACAATGATGTCAGTATGGTGATTTTTTTCTCTCAAAAAATAGTGGTTATAGAATTCATCAAGTCTTTTAGTAGTAGAAGAATTTTTTTTTTTTGCGGTCCTAAATTTGAATATATATGTCTATAAGGTACCATTATGTCTGTAGGTAAAGAAAATTTAAAATAAACATCATTTTATAATTACTCCAAATGATTCAAAAAATAACCGTTATAAGATTGTTTATTCTTATGTTATGCTTCTATTAATGATATTAATCATTATATTTATATATGTGTAAATACTTGTAAAAGAATTTTAATTATTACATAGATTATAAAATAATATATTATAGGCTTAAACTAAAAAAATTATTTAAACTATATAAATTAAATAACATATGGGTTCTAGAATGGTTCAACTATCTCCAATCACATACTGCGACATCCTGTCTTCAAGCTATATATAGGCTCATAAAAGATAACAGGACTTCAAGTAGGAATATTTTGTATGTATTTATTGATTTAAAGTGTCAGTGTCACTGTGGTGACTGTCCACCTAGCTGATTTTCAGCAATGTTCTGGCGCCAGACTTCTTCAAAACTTCTCAACTCCATTAGTATGCATGGGATATAGGATTATGGATTATTTAGTATGTCTATAAGAACGTGTGGCAAAAAGTTTTGTTATTCGATTGTTTGCACTAATATTACAGAAAAATATAATGTTTGTTTTATGTCTTGTGAAAATAATTCTATTTATTTTAAAACTATTTTTGAATATAAGGAAACAATGCTAAATTGAATTATGCAATTAACATTTGAAAATGGTAATCCAGAAATATAAAGTGGATAAGAGTTCGAAGAATTTATCAAGGGTAAGCTATTAAATTGGATAAGAGTTGATAGATTTATCAAGAGTACGCTAAAGCTGAAGTGAGAGAAACACATAGAGAGAAGTAACACATAAAAAATCGAAGAACATCAAAATCAACTTGAAGTTCTGAAACAGATGATGCAGCAGAATCAGACGAAGAATTCACCATCCTAGGTCATTTATTAGATTAATGTTTTGTTTATTCAACTGAACAATGTTGAACTACATTACATTTCACTTGGATGTTTGTAAATTTTGATTTATTCATGTTTTTAAATATTTTTATTAAATTTGAATCGTAATTAAATTTTAAGGTTGTTATTAGATATTGTTACAGGTTAAATTTAACTAATACATTGTAGGAAAAAACATAGGAAAATCAGTTTTTATCGATGGAGTTTTAGGATGAGAAACGTCACTAGTGGAGTACATAATTAGTGGAGTTTGTGTGGATCAACACCACTATATACATAATACTTAGTGGCTTTTTTTGCTGAAAACGCCGTTTATATCATGACAATTAAAGAAGATTGTGTCTTAAACACCGCTAAACAACCTCACATTTGCGGCTTTTGTTTCTAAAACACCGTTAAATAACTTTACTTTTTGCAGCATTTGTTAACATGAAACGCCACTAATAGTTGCGGAATTTGTTTTAGCGAAACTTCTTGCAGTATTTTTTTACGTCGAAAGGGTTTTTAGCGGCGCTTTAAAAGGCCGCTATAGGGCTAAAAATGCTGCTATAGATATATTATAGTGTATGCTAATTTTTTACTTTAGGTACTTAAACTATTTTTTGATCAAACTAGGTACTTAAATTATTATATGTAACCACTTTAAATACATTTACTATTTTTTTGGTCAAACTAAGTCCCTAAATAATATTATTTGTTTATTTAAACTCTTAAAATATTTTTTAGTCAAAATAAGTATCTAATTTTGTATGACATGTGTCGAGACGTTCCTTTTAAAATCTGGTGTCAATTTAACATCAGAATTTTGTAAAAAAATGTTTGCCTCGAATAACAAGGGACACAAGTTTAAAATAAAAATCGGTTCTTGGAGTCACCACCAATCTTTGATTAAAGATTGATTGGGCACACAAAATGTGTTTGTTATTTTAATAAAAATAAAATTTAAGTTTATTAAAACAACATTTTGATCTATATTACCAAAAATTTGAGTTTGGGAGTCGATTACGCATAGGAAAATATTTAAATTCCTTACAGCGCCCTAAATCAATATCTAATTAATTAATTAGTAAATACTATTATGGAATCACGTGTTAGTGAGAGAAGCTCCAGCTTCTCTCTTACCCAGGCAATTTCAAATTTCAAATTCCAATAGCCCATGTGTCTTTTGATATTTTGTCTCTCTCTTCCGACATCCACCCGTGGTCCGCCACCCGTTGCCGCCGTCCGCCACCCGTTGCCGCCGTCCGTCGTTCTCCCCTTCACTCCGACCACCGTTTGAAGCCGTTTTCCCCTAATAAGATTGCTGACTCAAACTGATTCCAAATCTGCCCTTATATTTGTGATTGAGTCATTCAGGCGTCGCAGATCTTCACGTATTCCTCCTTCATTTTAAGTTGCTTCCCGCTGATAGTGGTTGTCACAGCCTCACCATCGGACTCTGTTTCTTCTCGTGACCAAAACCCCCTATCCAAGCGTCGAGATTTGGTTCTTCTCGTCAATAATTTCCAGCGTACTGGTTCAACTAGTAAACTTCATTTCTTCAATCTTTCAGTTTTTCCAGTATATCCCTATTCCTGCTACCCAGTTCTCTCCATGGAATCCCAACGCTTGCCTCAGTCCAGGAGATCTCGTGGTTTTGTTGCAACAGCAGCAGGAGGTTCTGCCGCTGGAAACCCCACTTGTACTGTTGAAAACATTTTTGATATTTCGATATAACAAACTAAGTTTAAATGAATTTTAAGATTTTACAAATGATTTTCTAAAGTATATTCGATTCAATTAATCGAATATCAAATTATTACTCCAAGTCTTTCAAGATCATTTCAAACCTTACTAAATGTGTAAAATTGTGTTTTATACTTAAAATATTTTTGAAACAATTTTCACAAAGTATTATGAATCAAAATCAAGCCTAAAATCAATTTTCAAGGGCATGCACCGATGCACCAATCCATGCATCGATGCATCAATTAATTTCTTGAACATCGAATGCATTTTATGCATCGATGCACATACCATGCATCGATGCACTCAGTGCATTTGATGCATCGATGCACAAGACTATGCATCGATGCACTCAGGCTTTTTCAAAACATCGAATGCATTTTATGCATCGATGCACTCTTAGTGCACCGATGCACTGAGAGTCCAACGGTCAAAATATTTGAATTTTACACTGCTGCACCGATGCACCTAGGGTATGCATCAATGCACAGATGCTCCCATCCACTTTCATTAATTGTTTTCACACTTAAACGGCTCTATTGACTCCACTAATCATCCCCAACGTTTAGAATCATTTGAAGGTGTATTTAAACAAGCTTAGAAGCCATTGATCAACAACAAGAAACATCAAGCAACTAGAATCAAGAGAGAATCAAAGAGAAAGCATCAAACCTCAAGTTTGAGCATTTCAAGCCTATTTTTCATTCAATATTCATTTTGCTTTCAAGAACACTTATTGTGTCAATTGTATTTATTCTTGAGTGTTCTTTCTTTGTTCTAGAATTGTGCAAACATATTTGCTTTGTGAGGTTTTTCTTGTAAGTTTGCAAATTTGTAATATTCTCTTTGAGAAAATAGTGTTATCAAGAATTGAGGTATATTCTTGAGGGAGTTGTAAGGTTATCTCTTTGGCCTCAAAAGAAAGAACAAATTAGTGAATTTGTTGGAAAATCCTTAGTGTGGATAGCTAAGGTAGTGGACGTAGACTTTGGTTGATAAAGTCGAACACTGTAGCTGTGTAATTACTTTTAATTTTCTGTAAAAGCTTCCACCAAAATTTTTATTGCCAATTCACCCCCTCTTGGCCGATTACATCGATCAATTAACTCAACAATTGGTATCAGAGCCTCACTCATTTGAAGGTTTAATCACCTCTTGAGTCGATTCGGGAAGAGTTACATCGATTATCAAGTCATCAATGGCCTCCGCTTCAAATTACGACTCTGGTCTCGATTCGATGCCCGTCAACAAGCTTCCTTTCTTCAATGGAGCTAACTATGCCTATTGGAAAAATAGGATGATGTACTTCATTCAAGCAAGTGACATGGGAGAATGGAATGCCGTAGAAGAAGGATACATCAAGCCTCTCACTCATCCAAGGTTGTGGAGTGAAGGAGAGACAAGAATGTTCCAGCTCAACTCCAAAGCCATTCATATCATATTTTGTGCTCTTGGACCAGATGAATACGGAAGAGTTTCATCTTATACAACCGCCAAAGAAATATGGGACAAGCTTAAAGTCACTTATGAAGGTACTGATGAGGTAAAGAAATCTAAAATTAGCATTCTAATGCATAGCTATGAAAATTTCAGGATGAAATCAAATGAAAATATCAAAGCTATGACGGATAGATTTTCAATGATTGTCAATGGTCTCAAATCATATGGAGAGATCATTTCAAATGAAAAGCTTGTGAGGAAGTTAGTCTACACTCTTCCAAAATCGTGGCAATCAAAGAAGACGACAATCATCGAGTCTAAGGACCTAACGTCTTTAACTCTTGAAGAGCTAATCGATTCCCTTCTCACTCATGAAATGATGCTTGAAGATGAAGTGGACCTCGATAAGATTGACGAGACACCAAAGGTCACATTGAAGGTATTGGTACTAT